CATACGTCAAAGGTAGGCAGCGACGACGCGTGAAAGTAGTTCTAGCGTCCCACTCGCCAAAAACAATTACCATCATCAGCGACAATGTAAATCAGACCATGCACATTGCACCCGTAGGAGTCACGTATGCCTTCATGGCTACCTGAAACCAGGAGCTGTGTTTTCGAAGGGACTTGGACGCTGTGCACCAACTATCTTCAAGGTGCCGTGCCACGCTTCCCCCAGGCTAGCTTTATAGCTTTTTGTGACATTTTATTGTTGTGCCAAGTTGTTTTTCACAGATCCCTCTTGCGTCCCGCCCCTTCCCGCCTTTATATCCCGCCCTCTTATCAGACGAACGGGTACGTCAACTTCTGCGCCGACGAGTCTGAGCCGCCGCTTGAACACCAAGAAGATCGGCACCGGGCGAAGAAGGTAACGCGTGGCTTTCAAACGGTGCCGTACAAGGACCTGGCGGATGGATCTCGAGAGTACGGCTTCGAGCGCAAGCACCTGTACGGCGTGATGGGTATCCTGATCACTGCGGGAATCACCCAGAAGCGGCGGATCACCNCCAAGGACATGGCGGATGGATCTCGAGAGTACGGCTTCGAGCGCAAGCACCTGTACAGCGTGACGGGTATCCTGATCACCGCGGGAATCACCCAGAAGCGGCGGATCACCGATCACTGTGGGGTAGAAGCCCATGACAACTACCCCATGGTCCGGGCCTGCATGCCTCGAGACCTGTTTGTCCTGTTCTACGGCCGCTTCTTCCACTTGGCGCCGGCCACCGGCAAGCTGAACAAGGACGACCCCAAGTACGACTGCAAACACCACATCAGGTATGCCCGATAACGTGTACTTTTATGTTTTTTTTTCCCTCGGATGTGTTGCCTGCTCCGCCCCTTACGCACGACGGCCTAAGATATGAAGTGCATGAAAACGGACCCCTCTGGCCCGCGGGCAGCTTCTTTGGCATAAAGTGTGTGTCGTTGTCGGAGCGTGAAGCGCCCATAACTACGACGGCCCAAAAATACGCCGGGTAGCTCGGCAGATGTTGTGTTTCGACGGTATAATGTTTCCCGACGATGCAAGTGTGCCCTCTGTCAGACCGCGTACGATGACTCGTTCGAATGTGACCACAATAAATATCCGCTCCTCTCGGCAGGAAGCTGGAGGACGTGTTGAACAAGTGCTGGAGCGAGCTTGTGGAACCGGGTGCATGGCTATCGTACGACGAGCAGATGGTTAAGAGCACGGCGAGAGTGATGTTGGCGCTCATGAGGTACAACAAGGCGAAGCCTATCAAGCACGGTGAGGTTGAAAGTGAAAACCCGAGTAGATCGGGGGGGGGATTGGGCTGTATTCCTTGTGTCTAATGTCGGTTGCATCATCGGTTCCCAGACCATTGCGTAAAACCATCGCGTTTTCACCTTTTTTTTGTTTTTTTGGTGTTCAACCATGAGGGTGGTCGAGTAGAACATGTTGTGCGCAGTCGAGAACCCTCACTCAGCGCAAAGGGTATGATCACACCGCGTTGTGTTGAAATTAGTCAAGCACCCTCGATGTAGTTACACAGTGCTCTGTCGAGAGTTAAAGTACCAGAAAAAAAAATTGTCCACTCGCAGCTTTCATCCGTACGGACGTAAGCAAGCACAATACGCCAAACACTAAATGGCAATATTGAACTATTTTCAGATTCGAAGAGGTGTGTCAAACAAATGTTGAAGTGCACCGCTTGTGTCAACTTTGACATTGGACAGTGAGGGAGCAATGACGACAGCTCACGTGCCCGTTTGCTTTTTTTTCGTTCTTCGTCGGCTCCCGCACAGGAATCAAATGCTGGGCTATTTGCTGCCCTTCCGGCTACAGCTTCGTCCAGAGCATCGACGGCGGGTTCAGCGGCGACATCAAGCTGAGGCCGTATGCGAGTTGCCCCCTTGGGCGGTCGGCACGCACAGTCATGTACGTCCTACTCGAGGCGTGCGAGACTTTCTCCAACAAGATCATCGGCAAGGGTATTACGGTAGCCATGGACAACTTCTTCACGGGAGCCCCCCTGCTGGGATGCCTCGCTACGCGCGACATCTTCGCCGTCGGGACTCTACGCGGAAACCGCATCGGAGTGGAGCTCGCCATCTACCTCTGGGCCAAGGAGGGCATGGCGGCGACGGAGCGTGGGCAAATGCTGACGGCCCGCTCGGACGAGCTCGTGATCGTCAAGTGGATCGACTCCCAGGAGGTGTACCTGATGTCGACGAAGCATGTATTTGCGGACGAGTGGGAACCTCTCGCTTACGAGTGAGTACAACCGCAAAATTACGCCGCGATGATAGTTTCTCCCGGATCTGCACCCACTCGTTGTGTACCGTTCGTGTCGCCCCCACAAAGTGNATACTAGTGAGTACAACCGCGAAATTACGCCGCGATGATAGTTTCTCCCGGATCTGCACCCACTCGTTGT